TGTTAGGTCTAGTTGTTGGGGATAATCTTGGAGTAAATAGTGTTTTGGGATTTGCAAGGTCATTTTCATCAAATTATTTCTGTCGTTTTTGTATTTCTGACAAAAAAAGTACTCAAGTACTTGCCAGTGAAAATATCAACTTACTCCGTAACAAACAAAATTATGATGAACATGTTAAGACTAATAATTGTCAAATTACTGGTATATATGAAGAATCTATATTTAATAAAGTATATTCCTTCCATGTTGTTAATAACTATGCAGTGGATATAATGCATGATATTTATGAGGGAATTTGTGTATACGATATGAACCATATCATATGTAATTTAATTAATTTGGGGTTTTTTAGTTTGGAAACATTAAATAGTAGAAAACAAGGATTTAATTATGGTGACACTGAAATTGGAAACATGTCCCCTTCTATAAAGCAAATTAAAAAAAATACATTAAAATTCAAAATGTCTTCAAGGGAAATGCAGACATTTATTCATTTTTTTCCACTTCTAATAGGAGACTTAGTCCCTGAGAATAATCAAATTTGGTTGTTTTTTGTTAATTTTATTGAGATGATTGATTTACTGTTGTTACCAAAATTCAATAATCAAATTATTTTAAATTTAGAAAAACATATCACATATCATAATAATAAATATACTGAGTTGTTTCAAGATTCATTAAAGCCAAAACATCATTTAATTATCCACTATTGTAATATAATAAAAAAGTCAGGGCCCTTAAAATATTTATGGAGTTATAGATTTGAGTCTAAGCATAGACAACTTAAAACATACACCAAAAACATAACTTCAAGAGTTCATATTCCTATTTCGTTAGGTATAAAATATTCCATTAATTTTTCTGATTATATTTTAAATTTAAGCAACAGTTCTTGTATCTCGACAAATTTAGGCTCTCCACTTGGTTCATGCGAATATTTTGAAAAAATTAAAATTTTGTTTTCACCTAATGATTTGACTGCACTTGATCAAGCTCTTTGTTATGACCAAATTGTATACAACAACACAGTGTATAAAATCAATCATATACTTACAGCTTTATTTAACAATACAACATTAGTATATAAATTAAAAAAAATTATATGTCTTGATGAAAAAGTATTGTTTTTATGTAATACTTTAAATGTACTCTCTTATAATAAACATTTTGTTAGCTATGTTGTCTCCAGTGTTGATACTGGACTATATGTTTTAAAAAGTATTACAGATTTCATGGGTCCTCCAGTTCATTTATATTATCTTAATAATAAAGACACTGTAATACGTTTAAAACATTACTTTGTATAAAAACAATAATTTTTAAACAATGTATCTATATTTTTATTTTATTTATCTATAATCCTATACGTAACTTTAGAACTTACATTAAGCATTTTGTTTTAGTAACAATACATTGTTTATAAATTGTATTATGTAATAATTTACTTTAAAACAATAAAAACTTAACTTTTACTATAATGTATTTTTTTATTATAATTTTCAAAGAAGAAATCATAGTTTTTATGAAAAAAAAGTAATTTGTTTTAAAATCAAGAATTTTTTTAAAATAAGGAAAAATAGCATAAAAACCATGCTTACAGTTCATTATTTGTTTATATATAAAACAAATTGATTTAATCCCAATAATCTTTAAAAATAAGAAACTGTAACATAAAATCAATGCATGAGTTTCCTTGTTCTTATTTTGTTGAGAAATCAATTTCAAGAAAGTTTTCTTTAAATTAAATACAGTTATAACTTTTTATCTTTAAATTAATGCATATACATTTCCATCAGTTTAATCCCAGAGTAATTAAATTTATGGATTATTGATTTACAATTAATGAAATAAAACATTGATTCAACACAATTTGTTTAGCTTTAATATAAAATATATTATGCTATATTTCTAAGACTCAATATCATAGGCTCCAAATCATACCCGTTTTTCTTTAGTTTTATATACATTTTTCATTGATATTGGTAAGTATTTTTCTGAGTGTAGACATGGCTAAATAAGTCGGCCTTGAGTCATTCTAAAGCTTTATCCATATTCTACAACCTATAAACGCGTATTAAGTCAAGGAACACTAAATAATGAAACCTATGCCCGTTAATCGCCTACTCGTTTTAATTCCGGTACAAAATGTAATATACAATGAAGCCACAGGTACACTCGCGATATAATAAGATTTTAACGAACTACTATTACAAGCTGCAGTCTGTATAACAAAACACATATTATTATATAGGTGTATGTATACAAACTGTTGGAGTTGCAATGACTTTGCAAATTGTACGCAAAAGTAATTTCACGATTTTTTCACTAGGCAATATGCCAACACGGTGTAGTACCTATATATATATACATACACAGCAGTAAAATAACGATCAAAATTATATTTTTTCCTGATAGTTCCAAAAAAAAAAAAAAGTGTATACCGAAAAATCATGAATATAATATGCGCACAGTGTCTGCGGGTATAATGTTATCATATTGTTTTGTCGTGCCGTACAGTCGAGTTATAGACAATGAACTATTCGTTTCGATACCTACTCGACAGACTTACAACAGTCGTATTGGTAAGTACCCAATGAAGATTAACACTCTTCAAAACTGCTGCAGACATGACTCAATATTATATTATTATTCGACTGCATCGCGTAGTCCAACACGTCACTACAATAATTAGTGTGATATAACATATTATTATGATTAAACGCTTCTCCTAAACAATTATATTTAAATAGCATTCGACGAAACTTGTCTACGCGTATACCGCAGCCGGTACATTCATCGTACCACGGGTAAAAACCACGCTCGAGCGTTAAGAAAATTCGTCCGACAAAATTGCCTCGCACGTAGGTATANGTAATCCGAACAAATCGCTCATCCGAACGATCACTTTCCCCAATTTCGTTCGGATTATCGAGACCCTACTGTATTAATATTATTACTATTAATTCAGAGTAAATAGAAGTACGATGTAAACATTTTTTCTTTTAAATCTGGAAACGTATATTTGATTACAACCTTGAGACGTTCTCATTAATTATTAAAATAATAGCATTGCTATTATCATTCTATGAATTTAATAGGGAGCTGTCTATATACAAATTTGTATCATAGATTATAAATAGTGTAGAATTGTTGTGACTATTAAATAATATCATATGATATTTATACGGCCGTATGCGTATGACTTGGTATTCGAATTACCACTGATTGTAAAAGTAGCCACACACGGTCCGGTCGGCCTGTCAGTTATGCCTGCACAGGCCGCCGGAAACGCGTTTGTGGGTCCCGGTCGCCTGAACCATAGACATAATATTATGTCTATGGCCTGAACAGTTATATCTGTGTAGGCCGCCGGAGAATATATGAAAACTCGTTCGTGTTCGTCCATCCAGCCGACTGCGGGACTGCGCAGGCGTATCGAAACGTGTATGGGTTCCGGCCACAGATATATAGAATACATTTATTCTATATATATCTGTGGTTCCGGCCGTCCGGCCAAATTGCCAGACGGTTTAATTTTATTTCAAAGTCCACGTGTTTATACTACACTGCATATTGCACTGCTCTACACTTTTGTGAAGTTTTGTCATTAAAAAAATGTCTCGAGAGAAAGAATCTCAGTGTATTGAAGATTTTATTAATATTTATCGAAGCGAACATTGTTTGTGGAAAATAAAATCTAGAGAATACCATGATAAATGCAAAAGGGACGCTGCCCACAAACTTTTAGTTGAAAATCTAAAAGAAATTGACTCTTCTGCGACGAAGTCAGTGGTAGTAAAAAAAATAAATAACTTGAGAAGCAGCTACCGGAAAGAGTTGAAAAAAGTAAAGGAATCAACTAGGACAGGATCAGGAGCAGACGATGTCTACCAGCCGAAATTATGGTACTTCAATATATTAAGTTTTCTTGACGACCAAGACACACCACGTAATTCGCGTTCAAATATTGAAAGTGATGACGAGAATAGTGTCTCTGAAGTAAGTTTAATTGAAATAAAATGAACTAAGTTAAATTCAATATTTACTTGATAGTTGACAGGGGTGTAATTACGGGGGGGGATAGATCTCCAATATGTTTTCTTCCAATTTTTTCTCAGTTTATTCTTCCGAGGTGATTCCATGTGACTTTCAAAATCCAGACATTTACTCTTTTGATCTGCCAAACAACGTCTCTTTAAGCGTAGATGATGTCTTCCAAAAATTATCTGAACTACATTATAACAAATCTGTCGGTCCAGATGGCCTACCTGGTGTATTTCTTTTCAAGCTAAAACCCGTTATATCTTATTCCCTGTGGATCCTTCTTAGACGATCACTTGATGAAGGCATCTTTCCACACATTCTTAAACTGTGATCAATTACGCCAATTCTGAAGTCCGGATGCCCAACTGATGTCTCCAACTATAGGCCCATCTCAATTTTATCACATATTGCCAAAATGTTTGAGTCATTGGCCCAAAAGGATATTCTTAGATCTAAATCTTTCAATAATATTATTATGGAAGAGCAACATGGTTTCCGTCCTGGTTGTTCTACTATCACTAACAGCCTAATTTTTCATAATTATGTTTTCAACGCTTTCCAACATCATTCACAGGTAGACGTTGTTTACACGGATTTTAATAAAGCCTTTGATACCGTGAACCATGCTGTCTTAGTGAAAATCCTAAAAGATTGTGGCACTGGTGAGCCGCTTTTGTCTTGGCTTAAATCCTACCTAGTTAACAGATATCAATGGGTTAAGCTACCCAACGTTTAATCGAACGTGCTCTTTGCCCCCTCTGGTGTTCCCCAAGGTGGACATCTGTCCCCTTTGCTTTTTTCTATCTTCATCAACAGTCTGAGATCATTGTCAAGTTTTATGTTTCACGGACGACATCAAGCTTTTTATGCAAATAAACTGCATTGAAGACAGTCTTTAACTAAAAAGTGATTTAGGTAGATTTGTTGCTCTTTTTGTTAAATTAGGTTTGTCACTGAATCTAGGTAAATGTAAAGTCATGACGTTTACTAGAAACCGCTCTCCGTTAAAGTTCTCCTACCATATTCAGGATTCAATAATTTCTCGCTGTGATGGATTTACGACGGATCTTGGGTTCAAACTCTCCAGTAACCTTGACCCTGGCCTTCACATAGAAATGGCTTGTTGCAAAGCTCTGAGAATGTTGGGTATAATAATGAAATTGTCAAAGGACCTTAACCTAACTTCGTCATTGAAAGTTCTATACTGTTCGTTTTTCCGGCCAATTATTGAATGTGGTGCCATTATTTGGGATCCCTACACTAACCTTTCGTGTGGGGAGATTGATTTCCTCATAACTGTATCTTTTTTTCTAATGAATGGTGTCACCAATGAAAGAAGTTGGAAGTACGTTTCTTCGTCCATTCGCAAGTAATTATGCCAGTCTTTCGGAAACAACTTGAATTCAGTTAACAGATTAATGTGAGAATATTCGTTTCTTTTTTGTAACCAATTTTTACACCACAGTCTACGTTTACATTTTTTAATTTTAATATTTTTCATGGCTATCAACAACCCTAAAACAGCAAGCGCGTCTCCGTTGGTAGCCATGTCTCTACAATATAAAATAAATATAATAAAAAACTTGCCGTGGCCGGACAGATTCGCCGGAACGTATGGGAGCGCTGACGTCAGTCCGGACGACCGGTCTCCGGCGGCCTGTGCTGGCATAACTAACAAGCCGACCGGACCGTGTGTGGCCACCTTAACTGAATTATTATATTTTGGATAAGTAGGTATTGTACTCGTGCATATGAAGGCCACCACCCGCAGGGTTATAAATAACTTGTAAAGTCAATATTAATATGTTCTAATAATTAAGAAGCAAGCCGTTCTAAACTCAGAATATACTCTATACTATGATACAATATTTATTATACAATTCTATTCTATGATACAACTCTATGATAAATAATTAATATTTTAATAAAATGATAAAAATGCTGAATTTCTCCTTCGGTTAGTTCAATTATCTGCTACTTTCCTTTTTCATTCACATAAAAGAATGAAAATACGGTCAGATTTAACAAAACAAACTCATAAAAGTCACATTTAACCATAGGCGGAGATCCTTTGAAGTATTGAGGGGGGCTCAAATAGTTGGTAGCAAACAAACCCGTGGGGGCTTTGCCCCCATACCCCCAACACTTTTTTTATATTTAATAACTCATTAAAATAATTAAAAATTCTCATTATTATACCTACTAATTAGAATACTCACAAAAAAGGAAAAATGAATAAAATATAATTGCCATTTTTAACTTAATTGTATTAACCTATTACACTTTTTTTCAAATATGTTTAAAATAGTGTCATTTAGTAACGATGGAAATTGACATCGTTTCAACCAAGCGACCATCAGAACGAGAGCAGTTGGGATTGCCTAACCAAAGAGCCGGCAGCCAATCAGAAACCGGAATACGTCGGTGAACGGGGATGAATACCGGTGCGTTCCCTAGACCCTAATGTATGACACTTCAATTCAAACCTTCAAACCATCAACATCTCCAGCAAGAACGAGACCTGAAGAACCTGAAACAACACCGGCCGAATCAGACGACCAAAAGACGATCTACGAAGCGCCTGCAGCAGACACGAGCTATCAAGCGCTCCCTCAACGGCGATCTGCGAATAGCGCCTGTCGCTGAAGCCGGCTATGAAGCGCTCTTGCAACACCAACTGCGAACGACAACAAGACCGCCGACCACGCCGATTCCATTGGCAACGGATAATGGGTTGCCTATCCCATACGACCAACGGCGTGTATTTTGTTTAGCACCGCTCAGGGCTAATCGGCTATCAGGCACTGTCTTACTCATAGACACCTGACGAACGTCCTCGAAGTGCTAACAATCAGCGTCAAAGCGAATTTACAGGCAACGCCGTAATATCGTCTCAAGACCGTGCGAACACCGGCGTTAACGATCGACATCCCAGCCGAACCTATCCCGGCCGACGGCTAATACCGTCGGATAACCGCGGGAACTACCGAAAATTGTCCTTTTCAGGACAACCACAATTATATAGACCCCCCCCCCCAAGCGCGCCTGTTACGGCCACGCTAACCGGACGAGGCCCATAGAGCGGACGCCACTTTCATAAGCGGGCCTGACATGTTCAAACCTCTTCGCCTCACCCCATAAATTGTCTGTAACATTGTGTAAAACATTCATACTATTGTACGGGGATTCGATAACCGGCTGGCTTTCGGACCCCTCCCCATATACTGTAAATATATTAAACACGCATACTTTCTACTGAAATAAAAGAGAAGTTTTTCATTATTACGCAACGGTGCCACTCAAAGCACGTGCACCGTTTCAAAGAAAAGTTAGTACTTTGTAGTTTGTGGATAAAAAGTAAAATTTTCAAAAATCATGAGGAAAAGCCAAAATAAATCAAGGAAAACATGAATTTTAGACGTAAAACCAGTTTACAGCGAAAACGATTAAGTTTTTTGATGACAATTTTGAAAATATTTCGACTATTTTTGAGTTATTTATAGCCCTGGGAAATTAATTGAATTTTTATGTTTTTTATCAATTATTGCCGATAAATAATTTTTCGTTGGGGCTGGGTAATTAATAACTTGAAATTTTAGTAAGAAATTGATAAAGATTACTCATACTACGCATGCAAGCAATTTGAAAATTGCCTATTTCGAACTATTTAAAATCTGTTCATCCCCTTAAGTAACAATAAGTTGAATTTAAGTTAAATTTCGTCAAAAACAAATAACTCGTAAATATTAAATTGCATCGTTAAATTTCATATGCCAATTTAGTAAATTAGAAAAAAATTTTTTGCAAAAATTGTTTAGAAAAAAAACTCAATCCGAATGTGTGAAAAAAAACGGTGTTTACATTTTCATTTTTTTTCAAAAAAAAGTTGTATCGCACATGCACGTGTCGAAAGTGTTAAAAATTTGAAGCTTATCTGAAATTGGGTATTTCAGTACTATCTGCATAGACCTTATAATATATAAGGTCTATGACTATCTGTCATTCAGTGAAAACCCCATTTCTATGTACACACTGTAAATTTGGCTCTAATATATTATGATTTTTGATAATCATACACATATCAAATATTAATATATTTAGTATATTATAAACTTTAATTTATTTAATTTAGGAGTAGTAATAAAATAAAATGTATTTCATCATATCTTCACAACATTTTTTTTTAAATTTAAATTTATTTTGTTGTATTTCAAGTCTAGACATAGATAATATAATTTCGAGGAATTCCCGTGAGCACAGATAAGATACAAATGGAATATAAGTTAAAAAATAAATAAATACAAAGCTGTTAATTATAAATATTATAGGATGTAAATATATTTTTGTTTTATTATCTTATAATATAGGTAATATTTATTGATACTGAGTCTTAATCTTTTAAACAATAAAATAAATACATTTTAAAAAAATTCAATGGTTTTGTTAGCTTTATGAAAAAAAAACATTTGTTGTGAATAGCAAAATAAAGGAATATTTAAATTTTTTATTGATGTATACATATTTTTTATTTGCTTATTAAATTGTATGGAACTTATTGTCTGATTGAGACACTTTTTATTTCCAAGTAATCTTTTAAACCATCTTCTCCTCTGTGAACACAACAATGATATTTAATATTAGTCATGTAAAAATATGTAGCATTTAAAATTCTTACAATTCTCTGCCAAGTCCAGATTGTTTAAATCCTCCAAATGTGATTTGTGCTGAAAAGACTAGGTAACTGTTGATCCTGCAAATTTTTATGAACACTTAAAAACTTCAATTTTATTTTATAGTTTAATATTAATAATGTAAAATTGCCAATGCAATAAATAATAAGTGTCAACACTAATTAAATGATAGCAATGTACACCATGTAAAATATTAGTAGACTATAGCTAAAATCTACCTATACCTACTTTACATAGTGTTAAAATCAAAGGGTCGACAGATATTTTTTTGTAATACGCAATATGCATTATGATTAAAAATGTAAGTTTTTCAAAACCCAAAAAGCTTGCCTTTTACAAATATTTACTACTGTGTTCGAAAAATACAAATAGATATACCAGGTTCAGTTAACTCATTATGAGACTTGGACTCTATTAATATTGATTCTTGGTAGGTAATGAGAATGTTAAAATATTATAATTTATGACCATACAAAATACCCTTGTAAAAATTACTTACATTATTTTTACAGGCCAGAAATATATGATGTGTAAACAACATACATTTTAAAGTTAAATGGGTATTTTTTATTAGTGTCTTTTTAAAAATCTTTTACTAATAAATGAGTTTACCGTAAGATGGTGATCGAGTATACTATCAATTATAAGCATAAATAGGGGGGGGAGCATCAAAAACACCTGAAGCCCTCTTAATATTTTTTATAATTAAACCTCTTAAGTATAGTAAATTATGTCAATAATAATTAACTTATATTTCTAGTCCCCAGATTTTGAGCCATATTTACACCTATAACACTCTAGATTGTGAAACAGCTAAGAATCAAAACCACTTTATTTATATTTACTATCAAATAATTACCAAACGGAACCAGCATTAATATTGTCCATAAACTTCATGGCAGTATTCATATTTTTAGTTAATATTCCAGAAGCTAATCCATATTCAGTGTTGTTTGCACGTTTTATCACTTCATCCAAAGTTTTGAATTTAATAATCTGCTGAACTGGTCCAAATATCTGAATAAATAAATGCAAATGTTACTAACACATTATCCTTTTTATAAGATGTACCTACTTAGTATTATAAAATTATACCTGGTACACTAATTAATAACATCTATTCTAAAAAAATTTGTTAAAATTAGAATATAAAATTGTATATTTACTTCTTCTCTAGCAATTTTCATGTTGTCAGTAACGTTAGAGAATACAGTAGGGTACACATAATAACCAGTATCACCCACTTTAGATCCACCGGCTTCTAATTTGGCACCTTCTTTTTTACCAGTTTCTATATAACTCAAGACTCTGTTGTATTGTTCTTCACTCACCTAAAAATGTAAATAAGTAAAACAATATTTGGTATAATTGTACATGATTTATTGAAGTAGGTAATTTAAGTTTGACAAATAGTATGTATAATAAATATACCTATACTCTGTCCGCGCACCGACCAAATCTCGTCCCCCCACGTGTCACCCTACCATAGGTGAATCGGTTTTATTGGCGTGGTGACGCGGAGGGATGCGCAACCGGCGCGTTCTCTCGCTGGACAGAGTATACATCAAATATTTTATATGTAGTTACTATTAATTTAAAATCTTACTAAAGGCCATATTTGTGTATCAGCATCAAATTGGTCTCCAACTTTCTTATCAGATGCCAATTTTGCTGCTTTTTTGACAAATTCATCATAAATGTTTTCTTGGACAAATGCTCTAGAAGCAGCACAACAATTTTGACCCATGTTGACAAATACCGAATCATGAGCAATTTTAACAGCTTCGTCAACTGAGTATAATAATTATATAATATAGCAAATTTGCAGTCACAAATTAAAAATTCACAAAACTATTTTCAAAATATTTACCATCAAAATCATCAAATATTACAAGAGGACTTTTCCCGCCTAATTCTAATGATACACGTTTTAAATTAGACTTTGCAGCTTCTTCCATAATTAATTTTCCAACCTTAATTGTATACAAAAATATATTAAATTCAAATAATGAAAACAGTTATTCAATGATTGATACTTACTTCTGTCGATCCAGTAAAGGTCACTTTGTTTACATCTGGATGGCTAGCTATAGCTTTACCTGCAGTTGGACCATACCCAGGTACAACGTTAATGACTCCATCGGGAAATCCAGTCTAAAAGGTTCAAATATTTCAAATTGCCTGTGTTGAATATTGTAATAATGTATTTATGTATATATTTAAAATTTTACCTCTTTTGATAATGCAGCTATGTATAGAGCAGTAAGAGGAGTTTGTTCAGCTGGTTTTAACACAACAGTACAACCAGTAGCAAGTGCTGGTGCCAATTTTATTAAAGTTAAAACAATTGGATAGTTCCATGGTATAATTGACCCAACTACTCCAACAGGTTGAACTTTGGTAAAAGTAAAATATGGTCCATCTATAAAGGTAATATTTTAACAAATAATAACTAATATAAGTACAAGCGAACATTTTTATTCTTAATAAATTAGTTATATTACTATGTTACATATAATAGAATTATATATTTTGCATGTAATCTTTTGCATTGTGTAACAAAACACATAGATTTAAAATTCTACAATGTAATAGCCAAACAATGTTAAGAGGTCGTTGTACCCGTTATGTGTTGTCTCCGTCTTACAAGTGCCTAACACAGCGGTTCCCAAACTTTTACGACCACGGCACCCTTAAAAAATTGTTTGTGTTTCGCGGAACCCTAATGTCTAATCCAACTCAACTACAATTT